AGAATGAATACCTAAAATTTCAAGTGATTTGGATTTGTAGAAAATAAAATAAAAATTCAAATGTGAAATGAGATTGTAACCGTCAGATCAGCCCGGATTAAATCTGACCATTGGCTGATACTGTAGCAGTCAGCCCGTGGGCTGACAGAATCCACGTCCAAATATATATATGAAAGGAGTTCTATCCAATGAAGTGTATACCAGTCTTTTCAGATTGCTTTAAGGAAGATGATGTCTTGGGGTCATTTTATAATACTTGAAATTAGTTATTTTGAGAAAAGTTTATGAGCATTTTGATCTTTCATAAAGAAGTACGAACTCCACTCTAAACTTAAGGCAACCGTCATAAGAAATATGAGCCTTATTAACATCCAAGCCCTCTACCAAACAAAGGAGATAATAGACATCAATAGAGAAGCATGCAATAAAGGACTATGCATTGCAAAAGAGTAAGGAATCACCCAAAAATGCAATGCCAAATATATTTATAGTGAAAGACTACAATAAAGATATGAATTCCATTAAATGGCTAATTGGATTTGGTGATGAATACTCACAGGGATGGATCTAAAGGCCTTTCCACCAAAGCCTCCACCCACCCTTCTCGTAATAACGCGGACATTGTGTTCCGGAACACCTAGGCATTTCGCGACAACAACCTGGGTCGTCTCTGGGACTTGAGTTGAAGAGTAAACGGTAATGCAGTTATCCTCATCTGGTATAGCAAGTGCTGTTTGTGTTTCCATATAAAAATAGTACTGAGATCCAATTTCTACCTGCAAACTACTACCGTGCATCAGTCAGCCGTTGGCAACACCTCTCTCTTTCTCTCTCTCTTTCTCTCTAAACAACTCTTAACAAGTCAGGCATTGGCATTGCATCTCTCTCGAGATAAGAAACATGACTCAATGGCAGTGAATCTCTCCCTCTCTCTTTCTCTCTCTTCACACACACAACTATTGCCACATGTTGGTTAGCAATTCGTATTGCATCTCTCTAAACAACTACTATGAAACAGTCGGTCACTAGCAATCTCACCCCTCTCTCATCTTGTACCTTGGAAGAAAGGATCTTGTGGTCTGCTTCAGCTAGTGCTTTTGAGAAATCACCCACTTGCTTTGGGCAAAAGAACTCTGGGACCTCGAAAAAACTAGATTGAGCTACTGCTTCTTCTACGGATAAAATAGGTTGTCTCAGACCACTGGTATCATAGTACACCTTTACTTGATCGGCAGCTCTTTTAGCATGTTTTTGTGTTTCTGCTATCTAAACAAGTAGGCAAATTAACTAAATTTTTTGAAATCAGTATTCCATAGTCAGATAAGAACAGAATGAAGAGACAAATTTCTTGTTTAGGAAGATAGACAGAAGGTTATGCCCTTAAAATAGCAAGGAATATTAGTTAGATGATAATTAGAATACGAAAAATAATAAGAATCTACCATAACCATATAGGAAACACAGACTATATATATGTATATATAACAGCCTGTATTATAAGATGAAAGACAAATGTCCCACAGCTCAATTGACATAGTATTGGCTTTATCAAAAGGGGATAAAGAGGTCGAAATCCATGATACAATGAATGATAAACTAGTTCTTCCCAAAATAAAGGGATGAGAGGAAGTAAAGGGTTTCATAAATTACCAACACACCGATGGGTTGACCTGCATACTCTGTAAGATCATCGGCAAATAAGGTTTCTTTCCCAAATATCGACTCAGAGCCTATATTTTCTCCTCCTTTTGGTATGTCCTTAACTGAAACAAATGAAACTACTCCTGGAGATTCCATTAAGGAATCAAATTCAATATGTTTTACACTAGCGAAAGGCTTCTGGCTATAGACAAATGCTCCATAAAGGCAATCCTTTGGGGAAGGTATGTCATCAACATATATAGCTTCACCTGCATGTTTGGGACATACAAAATAATAAGATTTTCGACAAATAAGTTTTTAAGCATGAATAACATTGTATAAAAGTTTAGAGTCCCCATTGAGATAATTGGCCAAGATTAGAGATTCCCATTCCAACATGATACTTGCCATCACAGTTTTTCTACCTCTTACCACCACTATCGTATCTCAATATTACTATACTGCTGGGGTGTAAACAAGTGAGGCCAAACCTGACCTGGACCAGGCCATGGTAGACTTGGTTGGGTCTTGATCGATCAGATCCAACATGTTGGGACAAGTCCAAATGATATCATCATCATCTGAGCCTTATGACAACTATTTCGGTCCAAGTTGATATATATATATATATATGAAAAAGTTTATATAAGGTTGCAACCTTACCTCTATAGCTATGGACGCACCTCAAAAATCTATCGGAAAATATAGTTTTAATGCTGAAAAACCCTTTGATTGATTATCTCAACATCGAGATGTATGACCATGAAAAATAAAAAGATTTTAAGTCTCAGAAATAGTGCATTTTACAACATATTATCTACACTATCCATTTTCAAGATCTTCATATGTTTATAAATCTACTTGATTTTATCCATTTTTAAAATCTAAAATTTTATAATTAGATATAAAAATAGATTTTGAAATAATCCTAAGAACATTTTACATCAAAATTATATACCATGATAAAATTTGAAGGTGTACCTTACCTCTATAGTTACGGATGCATCCGTATGCCAACTGCACCCATATATATATATATATATATATGCAAGTGTGTGTGTGTGCGTGGAAAAAGTTCATATAAGGTTTGCAACATTACTTGTAGAAGAAAGGTTGCAGTAGTCTACATGGTCATTTATTTTTGTACGGTGTAGATTTAACACTTTTTTAAAAGATATGTCAAAGCTACATCATCCAACTAAAATGAACCATGTAGATTACTGCACCCTTACTTCTACAAGTAACGTTACAAGCTTTTATAT